CAGCAGCAGCTCCGAAATCATATCATCACAGTCATCGGCCAAACAGCGCTCCAACTCGGTGCCCTCGGAGACCTTTCACCAGCTGCAGAGGTAGGGGATTTAGGGTTTTTGATTTGTTTGTTTGTTTGTTTGATTGAATTACCCTGCTAACATGTTTTTACTTTTTTTTTCTTCCAAATACTTCTCTACCAACAGAAATACATCTCTGCCACTGGTTATCAATCACCAGCAACACCAGCAGCAGTCATCGGCGCCGATTGTCAACTTGAATGCTGTCGTTGGTGGTGGGACGCCGCTCCGAAGTGCCACTTGTGCGGCAATGAGCACGGAGAAGAAGACGAAGACGAAGAGCACAGCGATGACGACGATGATGATGATTGATAACCAGGCTGCAGTGCTCGGCAAATCGTCAAATAATTGCCACCCTACGGCTCGAATGCTGAAAAGGAGTGAAGCGGTTAAGTTTCAGCAGCAGCAGCAGCAGACAAATCAGCTCAAATCAAATCCGAACAATAATAGCTCTGTAGAGCAGACACCAAAGATGTCATCAGCGACCGGCAACAGGAATGAATCCACTTTGGGCAGCAGTTTGAGTGCCACAACGACAACAACAACAGCCGAAATCAAGTCTGAGTTTGTGGAGTCGGTCAATGACACTGCCAGTGTACTTCAGCAGGGGCAGACTAACTCGGCTTCCAATATCTCTTCCTCCTCTTCGACCACCATTGCCGACTACCACGTTCCACCGGCCGATTCAGGTCAGCAGCAGCAGCAACATCAGCAGCAAAACGCCTATGCCCCAGCAGCAAAGGAGCCCTCCCCGGAGAGTCGCGTCGAGCAGGCCGACTCGACGACAAATTCAATTCACCCTTCCGATCACTCACTTGATCTCGACTATCTTCTCAACTTTGACGACCTAAATGATGTGCTCGGATGTGAGGATGAGGAGTCGGCAGAGACGGCAACGACTACGACAGCAACAGAAATCATTGAGAATGGTTTGACTGCAAGGACGAACCTGATGCAGCAGCATCAAATGCTGGAGCACCACCATCACCACCATCATCACCAACAACAGCACCAACAGCATCATCAGCCAATGGACTTTGAAGACAGTGCGAACAATAGTGAAAAGTCGATGATGACAACGACGACGACGACGACAACGATGAATGGCGACAGTAGTGGTGGTGGCGGCCACCAAATGATCGATTTCAATGACAACTGGTTTCATTTGGAGGAGAGCTTCAGCTCATTTGGTCAGCCGCAGCAGCAGCAGCAGCAGTCAAATCAAATGATGCATATGGTGCAGACCAATATGGTTGAGAACGGCGGTGGAAATGGTCAGCATATGATGGAAAGCGAGCACATGGAAAGTGGTGGTGGTGGTGGTGGTGGTGATCTGCTGAACGCCTCAGACAGCGCCTTCCTCGAGACCATCAATCAGATCTTTGAGCAGAGCTTTCCTCAGCTGTCGTCGTCAACTGCGACGACCTCGACGACCACGATGACCACGACGATTGGTAAACAACAAATTGTCGCTCAGACGGATTTCTTTGAGCAGCCGATGATGAACTCGATGATGAACTGCGGCGGTGGCGGCGGCCTTCATCAGTCTGCTAGCTGCAGCAACCACTTTACAGTGCCACTTCACAACAACACCACCAATCACATTGCTCAACCTTCGGCTGCTGCTGCTGCTGGCAACCATTTCAGCACAGCTTCCGCCTATGGCACCGGCGGAAAGGGAAGTGTTTTTGGAACGGGCTGCTCTTCCTCCACCTCCACTTCCTCGTCCTCTTCTTCCTCCTCCTTTATGAACAGTTTCAGCAGCAGCGGTGTCAGTTGCAACAATGGTTTCAACAACAACTCCTCCTCCTCCTCCTTCAGCTCTTTTGCCTCCTCTTCTTCTTTAGGAGGGGTGCACCAGAGCATGGCAAGCGCAAATCCGCCGCTGTCTGACCTAAACGGCGGTGGCGGTTCATTGTCCGATCTGTTTGCCTCCTTTGAGGAGAGCGACTTTAAGAGCTTGATCGATTTTCCAATCATGCTCGACAGTTGAGTTGTGAGTTGGACGACTTTTTTTTGCAAGAGATTTGTAAGGGGTAGCCTTTGCCGACTCTGTGCCTTTGCTCGCTCGCTCGCTTTACTCCGTTGTACATTTTCTTTCTCTTTTCCTTTTACTCTACTGTTGACCCTTTGAAACGTGACTCTCTTTCTTTTTGTTTAGTTATTTTTTCTTCTTTTTTTGTAAGAGATTCATTCCGCTAAACCCCCGTACCGGCTAAAAGCTAGAACCATCCTGATCACCATCACCATCACCCCCATTTCTAAACCTTATCATTATCACCAGCATCCCCACAAGAAAAGCGTGGCTAAACAAACACACAAACACATCATTTTACACTGCGTATCTCTCTCTCTTTTGGCCACTTTGACCACTCATTCACTCGCACTCACTCAATCATTACACTCTCGATCGGGAATCAATCGGGCCGGCTGACACAAAGCAGAGAGATTCGTTCGCCCGTCTGCAATTTATCCGTTTTTTCTATGTTTACTATTATTACACTGTTAGACACACTGTGCGCATCCTTTTGTTTTGTTATCGTTGTGAGAGGGTGCCTTGTTTGTTGGTAATCAGTGTTTCAGCACACACCTACTTCACTCTCACTCTCTATTGGCCAAATACCATTGTTTTAATTTTCTTTTCCCCCTCCTCCTCTATTGTACATAGTACTCCTTTTCCTTTTCTCCCTTCTTCTTGGTCGTAGTGCACAGTGCAATGTCGTTGTGCCGCTTGTCGATAACCACAATTAAAATNGTACTCCTTTTCCTTTTCTCCCTTCTTCTTGGTCGTAGTGCACAGTGCAATGTCGTTGTGCCGCTTGTCGATAACCACAATTAAAATACAGCAGCACGAAATGAACGCAACCACTACCATCTAATGAACTCGTGTTCTGCCGGGCACTGATCACATGTTCTCTAGCAATTGTCTCTAAGGTTTTGCTAGTAATTAGCCGGAGTGCGGCGAATCAGCAGTAGTAATTAGTCAAGGAAAGTCGTCTGCTGCATGGCCGCCTATGGAAAAGTACAGTTTATCAAGACTTTCTATTTTATTAATTTTTTTGTCAAATGCTCAAATGCCCTCTTCAGGACGAACACTGATTGCTGCTGCTGCTGCTGCTGTCACAGTGTTTTTCCGATGTCGCTAATCAGCAATTTGCCTATTGAGTAGTGATAGTTGCGATGATAAGACAAAATGTCGCTCTATTAGCAGGGCATACACCAAACGGCTGCTTGCTGATAACTGAAG